TTCCTATTCCCATATCTTTCCCTGAAAGCCCCTTAATTTCAAAATTATAGTAATTCTGAGGAAGGGAGTTTACATTTTCCATTTCAAGAGAAGCTCCTGCCTTCCTTAGCAGACACCTGTCTTTTCAAACTGAAACATTGAGTTATTCTGGCATTAGTTCATTGTCACACACAGACACAGCAGGTGACCCAGCTCAAACTGACTTTGCTGTTAATATGTCATGGAACTATACTGAGGGTTCATCATATTGTTTCAGTTTCCAGCTTTCACTGGATAGTCTCACTGTATTTTCATGCAGTCACTGGAAAACTATCTCCAGAGCTGCTAGAGAATCAAAGTGTTGGTCTTTCATTATTGGAAAAATATTTAGGGGAATTAAGTCACCCAGCAGAGTGGATTCTGAGAAAAGCTCAATTGCTTGTAGTGAATACCATTCCATTTCTTTTATTGCTGGGTAGGTTGTAGCTGTATTATGCAGTCAGGCAGGGACAGTTTTTGTTGTGGAAGGTGGTTTATTATGGTGGAGTAAGAGCTAATTGGCAGAGGCCAGATATCCCCTCTTCTGGAGAACCCTTGCCAAGGCCACTTTGGAAATACTGATAAAGGCTTCTCTCCTTGTTCTCTGCAGACTAGTCTTTCCAAGATCCTATAGGAAATGAAGTTGTTTTGGGATTTTGGATTAACTCAATTCTTGTATGCCACAATTTATTTCACTATGGTGTGTTTATACACATTTTCTACTGTCTGTAACTCCCAGCTGACTTGTCACTGCTGGCCTGACAACATGGATTGAGTTGTACTCCTGCAAAGGTGTGAACTAGGAGTACCTGGGCTGAAGGCAATGTTGAGCCAGATACTCTGAGTACAGAACTTGGGCTGCAGTTTCTGCTTAATATTATACTTTGGTTTCCTGTTGAGCTGGAATAATGAATACTCTTACCACTGTGATCCTATTGTTATCAAAGCATTTGTGTAGGCAGTCTTTGATGAGAAGCTGATAGGGAGGTAGAACAGCAAATAGCTCTAGGGTGCACAAGCAAAAGGTATCTTTTGTTTTCAGAGTATCTAAAAGCCGTATCTTGTCTTTGTGACTGAATTTTCTATTTCAAGAGCACTGTGAAGGGGCTTAATGTCTTCCTGCAAGATCTCTGTTGTACACTCGTGGAGTTGTTCTCTTCCTGTCTTTTCCCTCAGCATTAGAGAACAGCCTCTTGCTGTTTGTGGAGGCACTAATCAGTGGGTTACATTAGCACAGCATTTCTTTATACATAGTGAGAACATGTCATGATGTGTGTTGTTTCACCACAGAGAGAATATCTGCTTAAAATGCAATTAAAAGCTACAAAGCCTGAAAGATCAACTGCCTGGGGGGAAAAAAGTTTACTTTGAAAAGGAGCAAAGAGAACATTTTGAGTGGTGTGTTCAAAGTGCTTCTTTGTAAAAAGGGCAACAAACTTTCGTACAGTTGAACACCTGCTAGCAGAAGAGCTATTCTCAGCCATTTGGAACTTTATCAGCCCCTCTTGGGGTATTGTCTTAGGTCTCCATTACTTCAGGAGAGTTTAGCTTCTGGTTTAGGCCATAAGCATATGCGAATTGATACTGGTACTTTACAAACCATAGTCTAACCTCTTAAAGGATCACTATGGACCAGAATTTACCACCCTTCATTTTGTTCTGTGTTTACATTTTCAATGGATTAACTTTACCATTCTCATCCACTATCTTTCCCTTCCTTTCCTGCCCTGAACCAAGCTGCTTGCTTGTCCTTTATGGTACTGACACCCTCTTCCACAGCAATTTTTTTTCCCTGAACAGACTTGATGTAGTTAATGATGGTAATAAGCAATAACGTAAAAATACAGGGCTTGTGACTCTCAGAAACTGCCAGCCATTTTTCTTGAAGGTTATGGGAATGGAAAATCCAATTCTGTTTTCTGATTCTGCCAGGTGTAACTGCTGACAATGCCTTGATTATAACATGATAGGAAGCATGAACATATTAGAAACTAAATACTCACTCCTCATTTCTGAATATTTTTTGGTCGTGTTATAGTTGTATTTAATAAGAGAGCTTGGAAAAAGCTTGTAACCTAATTTCTGATTAAAATCTACTTCAGTGATCTCTGCACAGACACAGAATGAAGTTCATGGAACTCTTTTCTGCTTCTTTACACTGTTTGTTTCCAGCAGACAATTTTTAGTGCCTTTTAACTTCCTTCATAAATTACCTTTCTGCTCAATTCATTTGTTCAGTTAGGAGAGCTGTGTATTTTGTGGTATTGTATTTTCTTTGTAGAGTCACACACCTTACTATGCTGTTTTGTATTTGTTTAGGGAAGCACACAATGAAGAAAGATGAAAATACTAAAAAGAATTCTGGACAGCTTTTACCTTTGGTTTAACTGCATTAACTTGTATCTATTTGTCCCATATATTTGATGGCTTGATGTGCAATTTCATGCAGTTATATTTACTTTCAGCTGCCAACAGCTTCAACTAATTTTTCAAGGTTTGAAGAAATAGGATAGCAAAGGAAGACAGAAAAAAGTTATAATCATGGATGAATTAAAGGATGTGTGTTTGGAAGAGCATTAATTTATTTGAAACAAGACTTATCTCTAGGTATGTTTAAATTGCTCCTCATTACTTATTTCTATTGTATCATTATTTTTTTCTTTTACTTTAGAAAGAATATTGACTTAGTTATGAAACCTGTTCATTAAGAAAAGTCTTTGTGCTTAGCTGCCAGCTCTCTGTAGGTATTTCTAGGAACTATGCTGATGGTTAGGCTGAATTAAATGCCTTGGAAGTTCCCCTCCCTTGGAGCAGCTCTGGCTCTGTGGCATTGAACAGTCCCTGGTGCTGTGGTGCAGGGTATGGCAAGGCCATGTTTAACTGCAGAATAACTGGAGCAAAGAAGCCTTTAGAGCAGAGCTAAGAGCACAGGATTCATGAGCTGGAAGATTTGCCAGGGCCAGGCTGTGCCAGCAGCCCTTCTCCTTCTCCTCCCCTGCACGGTGACGTTTCCATCCTCTCTCTGTTCCTGGCACACGTGAACACCTAAACGTGGCCCATCACACCCGTCCTGCTAGCCCAGGATTGTTTCCACCACAAATTACAGGCTCAGCACTGACCAAGAAGGGCAGGGCTTGGTCTCTTGTACCTTTTTATGGCATGGCAAATAGCTATGCAATCATCCTGCAGTAACAGTGCAGGAATACAAATTACAGGCTAACCCAGGCTGCTGGTGTCTCGAGGCAATCAGTTGTTTGTGTCAGCTTCACTCTCTGCTCATTGTTTCACAAAAGGCAGATGGGCACAAAGGGAATGTCCAAGGCCCCAAGAGGTTCTGTATAGGTGTAAGGTGCGTGTAGTAGGTATTGGTGAAGTTACTGGTGAAATAAACTGCCTGAGAATAAACCACTGGTAATGCGTTGTTATACAGTTGTTCAAAGATTGTAGAAAGCTCCTTCTCAAATTTCAGCTGCAGATGAGTATGGGGAAGTAGGCAGTAATTAATGGAAGTGAAATTGAGTCAGAGGAGTCATCCATGTCCAGAAAGTGCCAGAAAATCTGTGTCTCTGCTTCCTGGTCCAGTGCAGATGCCAGAGCATCACTTAAATTAGGGTCTGTTAGTAGTTACTGCAGAGCTGAGAAGGATAGGATCACAGTTCCATGGGAGAAAGCATTGAGCTCTGGTTGGTAATGGTAAAACATTAAAAAAACCCAAGTCTGACTTGAAGAATACCAACCTTAAAGGCAACTGCTTTCTCAGGTGTTATTAGTTGTCATGGTCTTTCAATATATGGTGTGATAACAGCTCTTCATCTCTAGATAATTATTAACAGCACACACTGTGTAAGGAGGACATATTTCACTCTCTTGCTCTAAGATTACTTGGAATGAGATGTTTTCCTCTGTCACCCAAGGGGAAAAGGGAATGCCTGAATTTAATTCAAGGCCTTTTGAAAACCAGTGTATGTAAAGGTGAGGTAAAGTCACCAGCACCAATTTGATCCCCCCATGAATGCTGGAAGATTCTAACCCAAGGTACTGGCTGGGATGACACTCATTTCCAAGCCTGAAGCATCATAACCCGAAGAATTGCTTGAAAAGAAAACGTGTTGGTTTAGAACAAAAGAAAAGTATTTCAAATGACTCTGCTTTGAATCTCCTGGTGAGTTCCATCTTCTGTCATAAGACTACAAGCTGTTACAAAATGTACTATTTATTTTTAGGATTGCCACAGCACAAAAGTTTGAAGCATTAAAACTTTCTTACATGGGCTTATGTTCTTGTGGAGAAAAACAAAATCTCTACTCCAGTTGGTGAATAAGACTTGGATTTCAAGAACAGATGAGCAAAGAGAAATATTTGCAAAGTGGGCATTGAGTATGGGGTTGCTTCTAGTTTTATTTAGCTATGTATTAGAGATCCACATTGTCTTTTCAGTTGTGTATTCTCATCTTCCTGTACTGTAATGGACTTGAGCACACAAAACAATGGCATTTTGCCCATTTCTCATGTAAAGCCTTGGAAGTCAGAAAGCACAACTCTTATGCTGTGAAGTATTAGTGTATGAAACATTATCCAAAAGAATTGTAATTAGAAGCTACTAACTCAACCCCATAGTTAAAATCTCTGAGGATTGGAGAGTGATGAATAGTTATAGATAATGTAAAGACAATTAAGAAAAATAGAGCCATTTACTGGTAGCATTTTGTAAAAATGTTTGTCTTCCATCTGTTTTTCTCTTCTCTATAAAAATAGATCTATTAACTTATAAGCTGTGCATACAGAAATGATTTAGATGAGAATTTTTCCTGAAGCTTTTGTTGTCTTTTGTCTCTGTCTCCTTCTGGCAGGGGGTGTGGGGATTGTATGGAGAAAGCTGTTGGTGTTTAGAAGCACATTTAATTCTGCTCTATGCCATTGTTGCTTGCTTGCTGATGTATCAGCTTTCTAAAAACCTCATTTTAATGATCCTTTTTGTACAGAGCCAGCATCAGCTTGGGGAGACTTGTGAAAGGATCTGCAACCTGCTTTGAGCTTTCAGCTTGGTGACAGTCACACCTGATTGTGACATGGATTCTGCTCCAGCATTGTGTGAGTGTTCCAGTTTCTGGAAATTACACAAATATATTAATTCATTATCCTCATGGCTCCAACAGTAAATATTTCATTTGGTTGACTGGGGAGCGGGGGGAGGATATGGAACAAAAAATCCTTACAGAAATTAATCCAAGCAGAGAGAAGGTTTAGAGATGCAAAGATTTATAGTCTTATTAGAGCAAAATTGTGTGAGACTATGTGGTCTTTAATGCTACAAGGAGTATTGGCTTGGCTGTGACATCATCAAGTTTTAGGTTTATTGTCAATAGTTCTTAGTCCATTCCAGTTAGATTTTGGAACACTGGAACATTTTAGCAAGATTTCACCAATTGTTATCACAGAAAATAATTTGTTTCAGCCCCTAGATAAGTTACTTCTGAGAACAATCATCCTTAAAACACAGGTTTTACATGTTGCTGCTACTCTCAGAAAATGGTTTTTGTAGCAATCCTTGTGGAGCCATACAAATGCTGGTTGAAACTCTCACTAACTTCTTTATTTATTCATAACTAAAGATTTGTAGCAAGACCAGGGTTTTTTTAGGAGCAAGTGTGCATCTTTCCTTAAAATCATCTATTTGGCTGCTGTGTTAGCACTGAGCTGGCCCAGCCTGGTCTGGGTGAGGTGTGGCCTCTGCACATGTCCTGTGTTTGATCACTTCTTTCCAGCTTTTTTGGATGCTTATAGCTATTTAATATTTTAATATAATTGTGTTTCTGTCTCTACCTTCATAATAGTATGTGTGCACGTATGACTTCTCAGGACTGAAAAGTGATCTAGTCTGACCTTAACTGCACCATGGAGAGGTGAAAATCTGAAGGTAAGAGCTGATCTTATAAAGTATCTGGTCCTCTTCTAGCACAGTTATGATCTTACATCAGTTGTTTCATCTGCTCAATTCCAGCTTTGCCTCCTTGAGGGAGGATGCCTTGTGATATGCTGAGATTTTGAAAAGTATGACAAAGAAAGCAATTAAGACCTCTGCCTCAAAAATACTTCAATTCCAATAGTTAAAAAACACATTTGTGTGGAGCTTGCTGCTGTAAGGGTCTACAAGTACTTCACATAAATAACTGTAAAGGAAGAAACACAATGGCTTGTTGGTTTTATTGCCTCCAATTTACCACCATGTAATAGACCACTAATACATGGCAGCTTCAGAGGCTTGAATAGTATTGGTGATATGGGATAAGGGGAGAGTGCCTTATCAGACAGGGGTGTGAGCTTTGTGAGTGACTGCAAGGCTAGAAGATACTGCCAGCTGAAAACTGAGAAGGTCCCAATAAATGCAGTCAAGAGCTGTGCTGGGGAGCTTGTTAAAAAATTCCGATGTTTATTAAGACATTTGAGCAGCTACTAAAATGGAGCATTACCTTCTTGTTTCTTTTGCATTTTCTGATTAAATTATAGCAGATGCAGTGTAATGCAGAGCCACTGTGCTGCGGAGTGCTGGGGACTTTTAGTCAGTGAAATGGAACAGCATTAATGAGCCACCCGTGAAGAAATTTGCTTGACTTTTTTTTGTGATTGTAGCTCAGAACCCTTTAGCAAGACAAGAACCAGTTCATTGGTGCTGAACTGCACTTTGGTGTTTACTGAGTAGTGCTCTATTTGTGATGTCCACAAATAGAGATGTCACTGTCACAGCATGGGGAAATCTCTGCAGAAAGCTTGTGCATGCTCTCTGACCCCCGAGGTTGGTGCATTTTCCAGTGTTGCAGTTATGTGGCAACGATGCTGTGCTGTAGCAGGGCTGCTCTGTGCATCTCTGAACCTTGGAGCAGCAGGAGCCAGAAAGCTTTGTCAGTGTCTGAGAAGGAGAATTTACAGTGGTGAACTAAATGAAATTAGAAAACTGTGTTTTCTCCTGTGTCTCTGGGACGTTCAAGTGCTGTTTTTCTCAATATAAGTATTTCTTGCAGTTTTTCAAAAGATAAATTTTTAAATTAACTTTTTTAAAGACTAGATTTTGCTAATAGTAATTTTCTACTGTTTCTGTAGGAAGTTTTTTAGCCGAAATATCAGTAAAATATATCTCTATGAAGAAATGCACAAAACAGTTGAGATGATGAAGGAAACTGGTACTGTTGTTTAAATTGAGGTCACTGATCTCTGCAGTTTCAGTTCCAGCAGGAGACCCACATGTGAGACAGTGTCTGGATTCCAGAGACAGTTTACATACACTGTCAAACTTGGGAAGTTTGGGTCCAAATGACTCAACAGGCTCAAATAAGCAGTTAGATGAGTGATTGCAGTCAGAACCATGAGAGTGACCAAATTAGTCCTGTTTCCTTTGAGAAAAGGGGAAGCAAAAAGATCTGCTGTTACACTGCATGACTGAACTTAGATGCTCTTAAGCCCCACAAATGGAATATGACTGTAAATGCAAATTCAAACTTTTTCAATGAGCTCAATCCCCAGGGATAAATAGGAAGGCTTCATGGATCATTTATGCTTCCTCCATCACTGGTGTCATTGCTGCCTCTCCTTATTTGTTTTAGAAAGAAATCTGGTCAAGAAAGTAAGCTGGAAAAGGAATTTGAGGGAATGATTTTCACCATGGTGGGAAATCTTTACAAAAGGAGTTCCACTGTACTTCTCTCCCCCTTTGAGTCCTTACTTCAAAATCAACAAGCTTTGTGCTACTTTTAGACTATCAAATATGTAATGTAGCCTGTGCTGGGCTTACCATGACACTCAGGATGACTGAATTGCTATTCTTGCAACAGCCATGATGCAAGAAACTTCAGAGAGATGTTTTCTGACCTATCATAAAATCCAGCAATTTAAAATAGCTATCAAAACTCTTAATCCTCCATGAAGCAGTTAGGCAAGAACTGTGGCTTCTATTTAAGAAAAAAGAAAAAGAGGCCATTTGCCCCTGAGCAATGAAGCAACATTTCCAGCAGTAGAATACAACCACCAAGAGAATTTTCTTTCTAGACCATATACAGGTTTGGGGTTTTTTTGTTTTGTTTCAGCATCTTTTAAAGTCAGTAAAATGTAAAGCAATATCAACTTTACTTGGCATATTTGTATTTTTTATGTAAGTCAGATCTTTTTGCCTTCCTCTCTTGAAGGCCATGGGATTATTTCCAACAGGCTGATGCTTCTAAGGGTCAGGCGCCTTGCAAAGAACAAACAAGGGACTAAATTTTGCTTTTGCTTATGCTGGGTTCATGCCAGAATAACTCAACTGATGTTACTGGAGTTACTTACCCTTGTGCAAATTCAGAATAAGAGAATAAGCCGAACTGTCTCTTCTCTTGCTGGGAGAAGGAAAAAAAGACAAAAAATGTATTTCTGTGAGGTATTTCTTTTGTTAATTTAGGCAACAGTGAAACTGCTCTTACTTGCTGGCTTTGCTCCATCTTTAGCTGCAGTTATCCTTCTGAATTTGTGTTGGAGCTCCTTGTGAATATCAAAACCTCAGAATTCAAGGAAAGACTGTAAAAGGGGGTTGACATGGCTGAGATCCTTCAACATTGTGGGAAAACACCCTTAATGAACAAAATGGATAAACCCACTCAATCACATTACCTGTGCCAGTCCCCTGCTCACTGTTTGCTCACATCCATTTCTTTGACAGCCTGATCCTGAGTAGAGGAGACATCTCAGCAAGTGTCTTCATTCTGAAGCTTGGTCTAGGGATTTCAGCAGCAGTTTAAGTCATGGTACAAGTACTTCCAGCTGGTGACTGGTTTGTAGGCTGACATCTCCTATTTTATGACCCCTGGAAGCAGGATCCCAGTTGAGTGCCCACTATAATTGCAGTGGCACAATGTGCCACTGTGGCTTCTGCTCTCACCCCATTTCTACATTAGAGTCTGGGTGTGAACAAGCCAAATTAAATTGCAGAGTCATGGAGCAAAAGAGCTCCTTACTGTGGGAAAGGTGCTTTAGTCATGGGAATCCTTTCTTATCCTGCAGGTTCCAGGCATTTTGGAGTGCACTGAGAAGGGGATCAGAATAGGAATAATTAGCCTGGTAGGGAGATCAAGTCCAACCTCCCAGCTGAAACAGGGCCAGGCTCAAGCGTCCAGGATGTGGAGAAAAATCCATTTCCCATTTCTGAGTTTGTGTGGGAAGCATACATATGTTGCAGCAGACTTCATTAGGGGTAGAAATGAGCCAGGACACAGACTCTCATTCAACAACATGAAAAGGGTCCTGGTTTATTCTTCTTTACAGCTTAGCCATCCTGACTCTGACTACAGCAAGCTCCTACTGTAGGGTCCAACTGCAGACTCTGACTGCTGGCAATTTCCTGCTGGACTCTGACTGCAAGTTTTGGTTTGCACACTCTGACCCGGGCTTTCACCCAGCTCAACTATGACTGCAAACTCCAACAGCAGGCTCTGACTCCATCATACCCAGACCGACCTCACAGCAGATCTTTTACAGCAGTAACTCCCTTCCTTTTTTTGTTCTTCTTTGTGTCTCTCTGGATCGTTCCTTCTTCTTCAGGGTTCCTCTACCTCCTCAGGGTCCTATTCCTCCAGGATCCCCCTGACCAGCCCTTTTATCACACTTCTCTTTATTAGTCAGCTGTGACCCATTAAGGGCAAGGCTATTCATCTTCTTTGGTAGTCAGTACAACTCTGACTTATCAGTGGCAAGTTTGCCTGTAGTCCCTTCTTCTACACCTACGTCCACATACTTGGGTGTTTTGTTAGAACAATGACATCAGCTTTATCCTGTTTTCCCCTTGCTGCATTTCATCTCCTGTTTAAACTCTGTTACTTTTCTTGACAAAGAACATCAAAGAAGATTTTTAATTACAACTGTCCAGATTGCTGTAACTTTTCCGTTTCAGCAGTAATGGGTACTATTAGTGAGAGAGACTATTGGACTGGACTTTTATGTACTTTTTTTTTACAATGTTCTCAAACTGCACTTAAGGAAGCATCAGTTTAATCATTATGTAAATAATAACAGAAGCAGCACCAAAAAAAGTGTCACATACAATAACATGAATATCAGAAGAAAACTGATGTCCTGTACACTTAAACAACACCTCTTGGCATTTTTCCAGTTCCAGGATGACTATGAAATTCAGTTAACGTGGTTTAGAAAATGCATACTACATATTCAATACCCTTAAGGAGTCCCAGCTGACAATGTACCTTTGCATAGGTCAATAATTCTTAAAAATTATTTATTATAGTGGTTCTGAAATTAACTTTTTAATAATTGCACCACTGCCTGGGCAACTGGAAAAATTGACTGATATGTTTGGACTCAGTAGAACATGTCTAAGAAGTAGAGCTACAGAAACAAAATTTGTCCTTTCAAAGTTTTAGTTGGATCATGGACAGATTTAAAAGTCCAGGCCTGTTTAATGTCAGTTACTCCAGGACAGGAACACTCCAGCCTTCCCAAAGACATCAAACAGCATCAATAAGAACAAGAGACCCAACAATTTTTGCTGAAGATGCTGCATGGTCTTGGAAGAGTCCCTAGAGCTCACATGGCAGTTCTCTTTGCAGTGCTGAATGTGTTTACTACCACAGGCTGGGCTTATTTATTAAAGCTGGATGTGAAAGTACACACAGAGAGACTTCACCATCTCACAAAGAAACTTCCTTAACTCCATCCATACTCAACCTGAGTAATCAAAGCTGTCATTAACCTTGCTGCCCCTCTTCCCTAGAATGATTTCTATCTAAAGCTGAAACACATCAGTAGGCAGCAGTATCAGGGGAGAGGAACAGGTTTGTGGGTGTTGAAAACAGATGCAGCCTGCAAAAATATTTTAATAATGTGTTTTTAATTTTGCATGGGAGCTAGCTATGGATTTGGGCTGCATCTTGGGAGAGAGGAGGAGAGCCTCAGGCTCCCACCTACACTTGTTTATCACAAAGCCCTTTGACATTCTCCCCAGGGGAGGAATAAAAAGAATATTTTCTGTGAAGCAAAGGCAGAACTATACACAACATTTCAAAGCAGTGATGCAGGTGAGGGGCCTTGCTAAGCCTCAAAGAGAAGTTTTTTGCCAGATCTCCAGTGTGGCTTAATCTGTACAGATCATCAACAGTGATGAGGGAGAGCAAGGGAAGGATGTTTTCAGGATCTCCAGGAACTCTTTGACACAGTAAATGTAAGATTTCAATGCATTTTCATGGACACCAAAAGGACTCTAAGAGGATCTGAGCAAGGCAGGCAAGGTGCTGAAGGGATTTTTCATGGCTCAAAGCTCAGGTCAAACCCAGATGGCAGCAGCACCCTTGGGGCCAGGCAAGCAGAGATGTGGTTTGTATATAATTTCCTTACCTTCACAGATTGTAATGGTTTCTGGATATATTAACAGACTTTTTAATCCTTGTGACACTGTCAAGAGTATCTAAACACCAAGGATTTTGTTTGGAATAGATTCCTATCCATAGTTCTTGCCCTCTTTTTATTTCTGATGTACTAATTTACTAAGTTTTACGGGATGCCATCAAATAAGGGATGTCAAAAACCATATAAAAATACATAGTGCTGAGGCTATTTCATAAGACCTAGGAGGTTTTCCCACCTTGGCCCAAATTAGAAGGTGTCAATTTCACTTCTATCTCAAAACTGTCAGATGTGTATCTCCTGTCTTGGATTTTTTGCCTTGAAGTTTTTAATTTAAAAACCTAAACAGAAAGAAAGGGTTGTTTTCTACCAGGAGTCATCTTGGAAAAATTAATAACAAATGTGCTTTTAGCTGGAAACAGAAGCTTTATGGGGTAGGATGAGTAGCTCCAGAGCAGTGCAATATAATCATCTGTCCTGAGCATTTAGATTTCCTCTGTGTGGATCAGATGTAGCCCAATGCTGTCCAGTCCCCTGGCCTGTACATAGGCTGCCAGTCAAGACTGAGAAGAGATGAGATCTTTGCTCCTAAAGAGGATTAAGGTTAATCCCAGGCTTGATGGGTGTGCATATGACACCAGGAAAACACTTGACTGGGGAGTGCTCCACAAATGGAAACCATTTACTGGCACCTTGCCATTTGAGAAACTTTAGTGTACTGGAGCCTCGTGTGTGCCTGGAGGTAATTTTGTGTATTCTGTGCTTTGATTATAACTAAGCTCTCAGGTGCCATATTAATAGTCCAAGTTGACAAGGCAAATCAGCCACCAGTGTCAGGGGCTTTTTACAACAGCAGCACTTC